GAGAGAAGCCACATGTATTTAACGTCCGTCACATACTGATCTTATTCTGCGCCCACTCTTCATTTCCATATTTGCATAAAAGATGCAAATCTATCATTTGCTTTTTGAAAACCAAAACATTTCCACCCATTTAAAGATTTACTGCAGAACAAAAATCTTATCTATATAATCCATGCCCGCATTGCACTTCCCAGATTCCTATCACATCCCTATTAGTAGTCTGTCAATCATCTAACTAGACACACTTACAAACTAAAGCCCTTGTAGTCTCTGGATTCAATCTTGCTGGTTCTTTTTTTATATAGAAAAAGAACAAAGTCATGCCTTAATATTAGGTATAGATAAAGCCTTCACACACATATTACACCAATCTCATAGCCGCTCCATAAGCAAACTGGATCTGTATTTTAATAGCTTTCAGATTATACCATCTACAACTGCAGCTTTAAAATTCTTCAGTGCTTCAGGGACATTTAAGACATCCATTTCATTTTTTCTCCTTGAGCAGTAATATTTATAGCATTTACTTTAAATATATCGGACGTAGCAGATGATGATGATGATGATTTACAGCTTTTTCAGTCAGGTGCTCAAGGTGGCATCATTCCCGTACAAAAATCTACCATACAGAACTCTAAAACATTTTCCAGCATTCCTACCCTTCTGTTTTAGCCCAAATCATTTGATCACATTTAATTTTAATTCTGTTCTTTCTGCTGGCTCCTAGTAGTCATCTTCAGACACTTCTGAATTAATTAGAACAATTAATCAGTGGAATGACTTGCCTCTAGAAGTTGTGTATGTTCCAACACTGGAGGTTTTCAAGAAGAGATTGAGTAACCATTTGTCTGAAATTGTATAGGGTTTCCTGCTTGAGCAGGAGGTTGGAATAGAAGATCTCCAGGGTCCCTCACAATTCTGTTATTCTTTTATGTAACTAATTTTATCTATATATTCCTTATACAGTACTTTTATCTCCTCTTTTTTTTTTGCTGCAAGCATTTTCTGAAATGTGGTTTTCCACCCATCTAATCCTTTTTTTTTTTTACTTTATCCACCAAGCACCCTTTTTGTATTTCCCTTAGTCAAATTCTTCAACTACATCAGGACTCCCAAATTTACAGGCCAAGAGCAAATACATGTAGCTTTCAAGTAATTTCCTGTGAATCTCAATACTCAACAATATTTAGAGGAATGAGTAAATCCTATGGGATATGCAGTTCTCAACTAGTAACGTTCAGCCCATAAAAAAGGCAATAATGAATCCTCCCAGGGAGTGTAGCTGTGCACTAGGTGATGTAAATGTACAAGGTATCATAAGAACTGTATTGTTACACAATCACACGATCCTTTTCTTCAGTGTTTCTGCTACTTCCACTTCTTGGAGGAAGTCTTCCTGTTTGTTTGCATCAAGGCAAGATAGCCGAATATTTCTGAAGAATAAATTTATTGATAAGAAAAAAAAAAGAAATTTCCTGGAAGGACCATACTTGGCAGAGTTTGCTGTCTGACAGGGCCCTGTCATTTGACAGATTTTGCAATATGATTTTGGAAAACATATCTATATCTTCTCCTCGGTTGGATGAATGCTTTGACTCATTTTTCCACTTATTTTAACCCAAGTGCTCCCTAGAATATTACCAAATTCATTCACTTGGATTTCTTAACAGAAGTTGATAGTTTTAACATACAGGGTAAATTTTCCTTCCTTTCTGTTTCTGTTAAACTATTTGTATCCTTCAATTTATATTCCAGTCATGGGAATCTTTTCACCAGGTCTCCACTGTAACTATTCAATCATAATTACTTCCCTGTATTAAGAGTTCATCTTCATCTTGTTATTTCACATATTCTAAGAATTAATAAATAGACAAAACTCCTGAACCTATATTCTTTTTTTTCCATTAAAGGGTTTTCCATTAAAGGGTTTAATAGGCTCATTAAATCATCACTTCTACTTTTTTCCATACAAATATGTTTTTATCTGAGGTGTTTGGAGTTTTCATTTGCCAGAGGAGTTAGTTTAAAACCAAATACTTTTAAAATAAATCCTTCTGAGATGCAATTATGTTGTGCCAGGACTCAATCATCGACCTAACTCAGACCATGGACTCAGAAATTAATTCTTCCTTGTTTAGTAGTACCAGTATTTGCACAGTCAATATTATCCTTTCCCTCTTTTTTAGACGGGGGGAACTAATTCCCAAAGCCCCAGCTTCTTGAGCTTCTATCTTTCAAGTCAACAAAATTCTGGTTGTAGTTGTTCCTTGCAGTATCATTACAAGGAAGCGACAATTGCCATCTAACTGGGTAAGTCATAGAATGTGAAGTTGTTGTGTCACATCCTGGATCCATATTCCTAACATAGAGTTGCTCAGCATCCTTTTATTTTATCTCCTGCACAGCAGTGTTACCACCATGATTTTTCTCTTTCTCTTCTTGAAGGTTGCAGCTAAAGCCCTCTCCTACTTTAAATGATCCTTAATCACGATCTTAAATCATCCACCATCTTATTTCCTGATCTGCCTTTTTTCCTCAAAAGACTCAAAGTCTGTTTCCTTTATGAAAGGCTCAAAGATTTTTTTTAAATTTCTATTATTGAGAAATAATTAATATGGTTACATTTGTTTGTTTTTGGTTACATTATTGCCATTGAGCTTCTTCTTCTTTTTAATTTCCATTCTCCTGGAGATTTGCTTTCTAGGTCAACCCCTATTATTTTATCTTGGAAGAGAGAAATGGAATCCAGTTTAGTGCAGTAGCAACTGCTGTTGGCTCAGAAGGGCTCTCCCTGCTGCAAAAGAACCACACCACAGTGGTCCAACAATTACAGCTACTGTCAGTTCAAACGGTTCTTCTCCACAGAGAGGCTGTGCTAAGGGCTCTTGAGCTTTGCCTGATTCCTCTGTCCTCCAATCCAGTTGACATTAGAGCCAACCAGTCCAGCCTTCACTAGAGACGGGCTGACCTCCAGCTTGACCAATCTGGCCGGGATGGCCAAATCAATCCTTCTGAAAGTTGTACCAGAACAGCACGATCAATTCAGCTAATCCTCCAGCATAGAGACTGGAGCTATGTATCCAATGCTATCAACCCAAACATCTTCCACGTCCCTCTTCTGAGGAGGTTAAAAAGTGCAACCCACCCTCACTTGCATCAGTAACAATATTCCTATCCCTATGGTTGGCCAGCTAATGCCTTGAAGGAAAGGGACATCATCTCTTTATCGCCCTGGTTGGCCTGGGTCTTTTCAAAGACAAAATATTGTCCATGCCTAATATGTTTGGGCACCCCACGAAGCCCTTTAGATAAAAGGAAGGGATGGCTAAAAAGATGATGTGAGAGGACCAAAAAAAAAAAAAAAAAAGAAGATGGGAAAACTAAGCAGAGGCAATATTAGAAATAAATTAGTAAGGCTTACTAAGTCCTAAACATCTGTCAGCCAGGTCAGTGAGCAGCAGTGACCAGGTTTGAAGCTCTGCGTAGAACTTGGCTTGATGTGCAGAAACATCTCGCCTTGGAGTTCAGCTTGGAATTGGGTCTGGAGTTTGGCAGCAACTCTGCCTTATAGCTTGAAGACAATCACTCGGGAAAGAGTGGCAATCAAGACCAAGAGCAGAAGACTGTTCCAAGTCAAGCTTGGGCAATTACCCATCAGGAATCAGGAATCAATGGTCTGGCAATAAGGTTTAAAAAGTTTAAGGACCAGACATGGCTAAGTAAACCAAGGCCCAAGAAGAATCCTACTGCAACAAGCTGGTTAATGTGACTGATCAAGTAATTTTGTTCTTATCCAGAATAAACTAAGGGACAGTTTATCCAGAATAAACTAGGGACAGTGAGAAGAAGGGTTAGGGTTCTGTATTTGTACAGGGAAATACGGAGACTTGATTTTGGAGTAACCACCATTAGGACAATAACAGTTTGAGAACCAAGTGTTGAGCCCAGGAAGAAAGGACATTATTAGAAAGAGATCTGATCTCCCTGATTCTCTTAGGTATAACAAGGATGGAAGGGAAAACTCATGTGGACTTGGAATATTCTGTTTCTACTGCTTATTTTAATGAAACATACTTCTAGCCTTCCTGTGAAATCAGTTTCCTGATCTGGTCTACCTTTGGAAACTTTGAAATATAAGAATGAAAAAGCCCTCATATAGCTTATGTGTGTGTGATTACCATAAAGAATCCTCACACAGTTCCATTGTTTTAACTGATAAACATTTTTTCCAAGAGATTATTTGCTTCTTTGATTTTTTTTTCTTCTTCTTTATATTTGCACTTGCTGAAAATTTATGTCAGGTTGTTTTTGGAAAGGCATTCAAATTTCCATGAGTGTCGCAGATCACAATTGCTCAGTTATATTTGTCCCATTAAAAAACTTGATCCAAAGATGGAAAATCAGCAATACAAACTCAGCAATTGTGATCTGCAACTCTCATGGAAAGTCTGATCTGCTTCTCAAAATGTACTAGATCAAATTGTAGCCATTTGCTTTTAATTTGAGCAGTAGATGCTTCAAAATAGTTAATCCCAAAGAATGTTAATCCTCTCCCAATCTCAGTTTGTCTGGATTCCATTTTGAGCAATCACTTCTTATCCACTTGACCACCATATATTATTTTAAACTCAAATTTCAGAACCCAAGGACAAAATGTCACATTATTACCCAATTAAACTACTGACTTGACATATGGGGAGTATATCCAAATATAGTGTATGCTTTTTTTATGTAACAAGGAGTGTGGAATATAGGGAGTTGCCTTGAATTAACTGAATGCCTATTTCACACTCCACCTGCTTTCAGTCTGCATTTATTTATTGTCCAATGTACTCTTTCCTTGTAATCGTTTAAATTTCCTACCAACAGAGAGTTTATGGCTGCTGCCATCTCTATTGGCATTTATGATAGTATAGCAGCTCTCTTGTCTTCACTACTTAGTTCTCCTCCTGTTAAGTATAAGTGTTTTTGAATCTTGGTGACTTTATGATTTCTTTCAGGAAAATTGTTGTCCGAACTGGAAATCAGCATGGCTCACTGCTGAATAGCCATACAAAGCTTTGCTTTGGCAGTCAACTAAAATGGTGCAGTTTGCAGAGAAAGTTACAAGTCAGGTATTTCAAAGATGCCAAAACTATAAATAATAATTGCCAAGGCACATTAAATGTCTTAATAAACAAAAATGTTTCTGTTTGATGTTAACTGATAATACCAGTTAAAGAATTGTCAGCTGTGATTTCACACTGTTGTCTGTATAATAATAATGTATTATACTCACAGGCTGCCCAACTCTGAACAAGAATTAAAGGTAATCCTTGGGTGATGTTCATTCATTCAGTACTTGTTCAAAGTTACGATGGCACTGAACAAACTGTACTTACAATGGATCCTCACAGTTCCAGCAATTACAAGCGAACTATGGTCATGCAATTGCAATTTCTAACATTCCCTACCAGAGTCAACAAGGAAGCTGGCAGGAAGTCAGAAGTGGCCATCATGGAAGGTCCTCACTTAATGACCCATGTGGTCTTTACTTAACAGCAGGAATTGGGACTGCTGGAATTGCTATCACTAAATGATGTGGCTTCATGCTTTCTTTACAACCGCATTGCTTAATGATGGAAATTCTGGTTCCAAGTGCTGCAGTAACCCAAGGACTTATGAACTGCCTAATTTTAGCAGGCAGAAAAATATAGACATTTTTCTCATAATGTCTCCAACCTATGTCAGTAATATCTCCCAAAGAATTAAAATGTATAATACTGTAATTATTTTTTTTATGATTTTCTCTTTTTGTTCGTTTTTCTAGGGTACACGGCGTGAAACATAAGGAGCAAAAGAGATGGGGATATTTTCTTTAGAAATTTGCAGTAGGGAGGGAAAGTAGTTCTTGCGTTATTAAATGTCCAAATTGGTTAAGACAGTCTTTCACATTAAAAATGCCTCATGCAGCGCCTTAACAGTGTAGAATTCTGCTTTTTGTACATCAAATCAGCAATTCTTTCTGAAATTGCCTGGTGATCAAACAATGTGGCACAGTTATAGGATCATTCTAGAAAGTTCTGCAAAGAAAAAAAGAATTTCTATATGAAGAAGCATTTTTAATGTAAAAAGAAGGGTGGGAAGGAGGGAGGCACCCCACTCATCCAATTATACATTTAGTACGATAAGTATAATTTCTCCTGCACCTAGAGTAGAATTTTAAAGATGTTCTTCCATTCTTGCTGAAAGGTATAATAGAAGGACACCTTTTTTTTTTTGTTAAAAGGAAAGAAGAGAGCAAGATTCAGCATACTGTAGCACAAAGGGTATGATTGTAGCTTCTAGCTTAGTGTGAAAATAACAACATAAGGAGTCCAAATCTTTAATCTGTAATGGAAGTATTAGCTGACTCTCAGACAAACAAAACAAAACAAAACAAAAAAGAAAGAAAGAAAGAAAAAAAGTATTTCTTAGTTGTATTCTCTCACCATCAAACCAATAAATAAAACCATTATCTAAAGCCCCAGTCAGGCACTATTTCATAGAAATAGGTCCAAAACTGGAATATGATGGCAGTTACTTCTGACTAACCATTTATATAATTTTGCTGTACTTGAGGGAATATCCTGAAAGATTATTTAACTTATACTTTGCCTTCAGACAGATAACATCTGTGTTAGAAAAGACCCACAGCAGATAGTGACAGCATTTAAACACAAGCACACAAATAGACACACACCCACACACACAAACACAAACACAAACACACACACACACACACAAACACACGTTCCTGGCAAATATCTTATCCAAACAGATGTTTTGTCTTTGTAGTGCCATTTTATTTTCTATTTTTTTTAAGATGAGAGGCAAAGATAAAATATCAGTAAGTGGACAAAGAGTTATATAGGCTGTGCTTAGCATATCACTGATGAAAAATCAATCCTAAAAACGAAACATTATTTTTGACAATAAAATAAAAAAAATAAAGGTGTTTTTGAATTTTTGTGCTGAATGTCAAAGTTCTTTCTCCTTTTTAGAGTGTGTCTGTGTAATCCTTGAATAATATACTTCTTCCCGAACAAAAAAGGAGAAAGAAGAAAAACTACTAAAAACAATACAGATAATTATTTAGTTTTTAAATTGCTTTTTGTTGTACTCTGACTGGTACAATATTATAATATTTATAAACATTTAAAATTATCATATATTTATTTCAGTTCTTTGATTGATTCTTTTCCCCCCTTAAAAAATCATACTTTAAATGGTTAGATTTACTTTACTATATAGTTTGTATTATACATGGAAGCCATTCTTAGTTAATTTTTGGTGAAATTTCTGTTATACTAGTTATTTTGTGTATTCTCCAAGTATAAGTTCTTAGACTGATATTGTCAGTACATATCTCTTTTCCAATGCTCTACTAAGTTAATCCTTGTGGTTATCAATATATTTCTTAGGAAATTGTGATTTTTTTTGAATATACGAATATATATAAAATTGTGATATTTTTGCTAATATGTTTCATTCAAATTTTATTTCTAAAGTTCTCTGAACAGTACTATGTATTTCATCCCAATACTGTTCAATTTCTTTAAATTGTAAAATGTTCCTTTTTCCAGCACTTATTAGTATATGAGTTGTCTACTTTGGTAATTATTAATGAAGCTGTATATTATCTATTAAACATTTTATCCCATGGGTATATTTTATAGATTTGTTCCATAGTTTATTCCCTTGTTGTGTTGGGGCTGTTTCTTTAAACTTTTGCATCTATTCTATCGTGCAATTTTTGTTTTTCTTCCGCTGCCATTTTCAATCTTTGCTCAAATAAATTGGAGTCTTTGCCTCATGCCTGAAGAGATAGAACATTCAATTTACAACAATTCCCCTTTTATTCGTTTGCAGGACTTTACTAAAACAAAACATGATGGGTTGCAGCCTGCATTTACATTGATACAACGAGAAATATATACCAGACACATCAAAAAGCAACCACTATTTTAATGTGAAAACCAAAATTAGATTTCCAACTGAAGCAGCCAGAAAAGCTTCTATATATATGGCCAACTGCATGTTTTTGTATAGTGGTAAAGGTAAAGGTTTTCCCTGTTCAGTCATGTCTGACTATAGAGGGCGGTGCTCATCTCTGTTTCTTAGCCAAAGGAACCAGCATTTTCCAAAGATGCTTCCATGTTCATGTGACCAGCACGACTATACACCAAGGTGCATGGAACGCTGTTATACTCATAACTATTTATCTACTCACATTCTGCATGCTTTTGAACTGCTAGGTGGTCAGAAGCTGGGCAAATAATGGGAGCTCACCCTGTTGGGTCTCAGACCTAGGCTGTCAGCTTTCCAGCTGACAAACTCAGCATCTTTAACTGCTGAGCCATGGCACCCCCTTGTATATTGGTACAACTATCTGTTTAGTGACTGTTCAACATTATCACAGCACTGGAAAAAGAGACTTATGACTGCTTTTCACATTTATGACCCTTGCAGCATAAATTTGGACTCTTGGCAACTGACTCATATTTATGATGGTTGCAGTATCTGGGGATTACGTGATCATTTTTTTGCGACTTTCTGACAAGAAAAATCAATGGGGAAGCCAGATTCACTTAATAATGGTGTTACTAACTGTAGGTCATAAAATGAGGTGAAACTCACTTAGCAACTGTCTCGCTTTGCAATGGAAATTTTGGCCTAAATTTTGGTCATAAGTCAAAGACTACCTGTAATGGGCATCATACCAGCTATAAGAAATAACATATTCATTGTTTTCACAATACCAGAGGAGACATCCTTAGAACTTTCTCAACTTGAAATCTTCCCCTTATATTGGGATCTTAACGCTTTCAATTTCTATCCTGTGTGCAAAACCTTTACTTTTTTATTTTGTTATAAATATGGATTGTTTTATTTTTTTTGTTTCTGAGCCACCCAGTGTCTAGTTCAGGGGCCTTCAAACTTGGCCCTTTTATGTCTTGTGGACTTCAACTCCCAGAATTCCTCAGCCAGTGTGCTGGTCTAGTTCATGGGCAGCTACAGTATATAAATGTTTTAAATAAATTGAAAATAAAAAACAAAACAAAACACCAGAGTTAGCTACAACTCAGCCACAATATTTTGTCCCACAAAAAAGTCAAATTGAATGCCCATAGATAACTTTCCATAGTTTCTTATAGCTCTAATTGCTGATGTACCCCATTCTTTTATATCTGAACCAACCAATTATTATATACCAGATGAAGATTATTATTTAAGCACTGGAGGCAAACAACACTGATTTCCCTCCTAGTTTCTACATAGAGCTTACAAATTGCTTGGGCTCTCATATCCATCTCTGTCATACTGACCTTCCAAATTATCATTTCTGACAACATTTACTGTAGAAGAATATAATCTGCAAATTCACCTGCCTCCCTCTTAATCTAAGCTCTCCCAGGGACAAAACTAGGAGCTTTTAGATCTGGCCTAAGAAATATCTCCAGCAAATGACAATCCTGCTCCCGGGAAAGCCTCCATATATGGCAGTTTTGCTTTTTAAAATGTTTCCAATTGGCAACAAGAGAAGTGTTTTAAAAGTCTAGTTGCCACAGACTGAGAGTTTGGAGGGCTGATGTCGAGAAGAGTTATGTCTTCTTTCCCCAAACCACGATCCTATTGAACAGTTAAGCTTGCCAAAGGAGCTTAACTGTTTTTTTAATTTTAAAATTAAAAAACAAACAAACCCTGAATTGTCAACATTTCAGTATATAACCATCCACTGCTTGATCTGCTTATACCTCTGTCTCACCTCTTGACCAACTTGGTGTGGGCGTGCTCATTCCCATGCCATTTTTTCTGACAACGCTGTTCCTATTTGCCTTGCTATTCTCTCTTTGCCCTGCTTATATATTTCCTCCTCTGCATGCTTTGTTCCTGAACTCTCCTCAGTGCAAATGCATTCCTGGTGCTTCTTATTTCCAATTCCGCCAGAAACGCTGTAAAAAGACCCACACACATTGCCTGTGCCCTTCTGGCTCTGGCGGTCACATTCATTCAGCAACTAGGGCAGGAAAGGTTATTGGGAAGATTGCAAGAGCTATCAAGCTGTTTTAAAATAAAAGAAACCAGGAACTGTTGCAAGCATTGCTGATCCAGATAAACCTCCCGTCCTGAACATTTTCAATTATTATATTCCATGATGCTGAGCAATTGCTGAAAATGTTTTGTTTTAAAGCCTGCAGGATATCAGAGGTGAGAGGGATTTCCTACATAATTATATGCTTGTGTTTGTGACTCCTTTTCTGCAACCACTATATATGCAACATAATCCTATATTGCATAGGCAATTTGAAGGTTCCCTATTGCAAGCTTGGAGGTCTTTGGAGGAATGACAAGATATTGGTACAGAGTTCATACTATATTTATTTTAGATTTTATTTTTATTGAAATTAAATATCACCGTGGTTGGCAAAGAGTGTGGTCCAGAGTGGGGTGGCAGGATGGGTGACTGGTGGCTTTGTCATTTCACTCCCATTGTGATCTCATTTTAGATCCTCTTTCAAACTGCAATTTTACAAGAAAAGCATGCAAGACTAATATCATTAATATCCCATCTATTTTGGCAATTAAGAACTCATCCATAAGTAGAACTCAATGGGAGCCATTCAGTTTCAGCCAATCAGTATATTGCTGAAAACGGGTTTTACTAATAACCAAGGAAAAATGCAGGGTTCATTTTTATCAACTGGTATACATTTTGGGTGATTATTAAGAAATTTCACATAAAGCAGCATATTCCTAATTAGAATGAATTTGCTTAAAACATTTATTCAAGTATTAATTCTAAAAAAAAAAGAAATTCCTAGAGAGTACAATGCATGCATGAATGAAAAAGCAACTGCACAGAACAGAATGATATATTTAATTTAGGTTTCCTATAATTGGTGAATGTTATCCAACAATATACTATATACTTTTCTGTTTCTTCTTAATTTATATCTATTGTTGCTTTATGCTTCAACCAAACTCAGATTTAAGTAAGGGACATTCTAGTAATGTTGCACAGTTGTGCAACACATTTATGTAAATCCAAATGTGACAGGCCTTTGAACATGGACCAACATACCTTGAGTACCTTTGACATAATGCATTGCATGCAACAGTATGTTGGCTTGTAAGGCAATCTCTAGATTAGAGATCTTAGAATAGAAAAATTTGAAGAAAAATTGAACTGTGCTTACACTTGTGGCAAACTTAAAGTATGTCCAAACTTACTGGCACTATTATTATTATTGTTAACAGGGAAAGCTACATATGGCATGGATACAACTAAGGCCTTTAAGCTAGTTATCCCTCTATGTAATTTACAATCATTACCTGAACACTTCAGTTGGAGACAGATGTTATTATCTGTGCACCCATCTAGTGTTGATCATAGGATTTAGAAGATTGTGACTTAGAATATAAAAGAAGTAAATTATGAATTAACAAATTAAATGGAAGAAAGAGAACTAGGTTATATATCTGTGGTAGAATGTATAGAAGTGGTTTGATCTTGTGAAATACAATTAATGAATACATGTAGGTTTAATTATCAATGAAAGAGAAAAGAAAACTCACAATCTATGAAATGGTGTCACCTCAATAGAAGGCACATACTATCACGTACTATCACATTTGGTGGACATGTGGTAAGGCAAAGGCCTATTGGAGAAAGATACATATGTGGTTAGAAAAAATATTGGGTGAACAAGTGGATTTTAAACCTGAACTTTTTTTACTAGATATTATGCCTGAAAAGACTAATAAGCAGAAATTATATTTAATCTTACACATCACTACAGCAGTGAGAATAATTTTTACACAATACTGGAAGAATGAAGGATTGCCATCAGAAGAAGAAATAATCAGGAAAATATTGGAATGTGCAGAGACGGACAGATTAACTATGAGGTTGAAAGATAAAGAAGATACAGACTATTATCAAATTTGCGACCTATTTTATTCTTGGCTAGAGGAAAGAATGAAGGATTAGGAATTGAACATGTATTAGCATAGCAAACACCAGACAACTTGTTGATTGGAAAAAATAACATATGTTGATGAAAAAAACCCCAATAAAATCTTTATATATATATATATATATATATATATATATATATATATATATATATATATATATATATATATATATATGGAGGTTTTCGCGGGTATTTGTATGTAGGTCTTTGGTTGTTCGGGTTTTCTCCCGCATAAAATTGGAAGTGTCTTGGCAAAGTTTTGACGAAGTCCTATTCGTCATCTTCAGGCTGGTGTTTTCAGCTTCGTGCTTTGAGCAGCAATGTGTGGTCTTAGCTGTTTCTTCCTTTTAACTGCCAGTGGGGGTATGAACTGATTGGGTGGGAGCTTGGCTGTGTTCTGATTGGGTGGAGGTGTGTTCTGAATGGTTAGGGGCTTGGCTGTGCTCTGATTGGCTGGGGGAGTGTTCTGTTTGGTTGTGCTCAGGTTAGTCTGAGTTGCAGAGGGGTTTAAGATTTTGGGCTGCCTTGCT